TTAGTGCAGTTTAAGGCAATTTTCTAGTAACGTACTTTTCCAGGACTTGACAGTGTCTGTAGGAAGAATGGTGTCTGCCACAGAATCAGGCAGTTTCTTCCCACCCAACTCGCCAGCCTGTCCAGGTCTCACTGAATGGCAGTAGAGCCTTCTGCTGTGTCAGCCACACTTCCTGGAGTTCATCACCAGCAAACTTATTGAGGTTGCATTCTATTCCTTCATCCAAGTCAATCCAGATAATTGGTGAAAATAGATATTGAACAAGACCAGACCCAACTGTATCAGGAATGGTGTCATGAGCAGGACTAGGGAAATCATTCTGCCCCTGTACTAGGCATTGATGAGGCCCCACCTTGAGTACTGTGTTCATTTCTAGGCACCTCAGTACAGACAGGACATTGAGGTACTGGAGCCAGTCCAAAGAAGGGCAACCAGTCTTGTGAAGGGCGTGGAGAATATGCCCTACGAGGAGCGATTGAAGAAACTGGGGGGCTGTCTGGGGAAAAGGAGGCTGAGGGGAGACCTTACTGCTCTCTTCCAACACTTGAAAGGTGATTGCAGAAAGAGCAGGGCTGGTCTCAGAGGTGACAGGTGCCTGGATAAGGTAAATGGCCTTGTGTTGCTCCAGAGGAGGTTCAGGTTGGATACCAGGAAAACTTCTTTACAGAAAGGGTTGATAAGCACTGGAATAGACTCTCCACAGAGGTGGTTGAGTCACCATCTCTGAATGTGTTTAAAAACTTTTTGGATGTAGTGTTCAGGTGGGTTGTTAGAGCTAGGGTAATATGGTTAGGTCATGGTTGGACTCGATGATCTTTAATGTCTTTTCCAACTGAGCACTTTTATGATTCTGTGTCTCCTGGGGATCACCACTAGTTACAGGCTTCTAAAAACTCTCTGTTGATAATCACAAAGCACTGAGCTCTGACAAACAGCCGGCCCAGTTCTCAGTTCACCTCACTGTTCATCCACCCATCCTACACTTCCTAAGCTTACCTACAAAGATGTTATGAGAGACATTGTAAAAAGCCTTGGTGAAGTCAAGGTTAGCAGAACTTACTGCTCCTCCTTGTCTATCCATCTGGTCAAGACCTCATGTAGGCAATTAGATTGGTCAAGCATGATTTCCCCTTGGTGAATCCATGTTGACCAATCCTGATATCCCTCTTTTCATCCATTGCTTTGAGATGACATCCAGAGTAAGCTCTTTCATCACCTTTCCGGGGACAGAGGTGAGGCTGAACAGCCTGTAGTTTCCCAGATCCTCCTTCTTGCCCTATTTGAAGATTAGAGTGACACTGGCTTTCCTCCAGTCCTCAGGAATTTCTCCCATTTTCCAAGATCCTTTAAAGATTCTTTATCTCCTAAAGATTTGAGTAGCCCCCAAATTAATGAAGTGAATTAGAGAGAGAAGTATCCTCCAAAGAAAACATGAGAAAACATAATCTATGTAAAGCAACAAAGACTATACCTGTCCTAGAGTTTGTCACTCTAAATGTCCCTTAGACCTGCAGTCTTAGTCTAGTATAGCTCTGAAAACAAACAAACAAAAAAAACAAAACAAAAACAAACAAAAAAAACCCCACAAAACCCAAAAACCACCAACAAACAAACTTGGAGGAAAATAAATAGTTTTTACATTGTTTTCTGAGGATCTGAGACAATATTATAGATACTGTTTATCTTCTCCAGCATCTTTAATGCTGGTGAGCTTGACTAGCAGTGTAACTTAAATGGTAAGTTTCGCATACTTCTGTGAAATATATGGCACAGGATATAAAGTATTAAAGTGATCTAGAAGTATAGTACCTATGTCTTTATCTATCCATAGGGTTGCTATTGATCAAGGCTTCTCATACTACACATCTCCATTGTTTGCTCTGTCTGCAAAAGTTATCAGCATGATAAAACAGAGTAGATCTTACTCAGCTGTTAGTACAAAGCTGGACAATTGCCCAAAAATGATAGGCACTGTTGAAAATGAAGGCAGTGATTCAATCTTTTTTTCTGGTGCTACATGAAAAAAAAAAGAAAAAAAAAGGCCAAAAATTAATTGTCATTTGGCCTACTGAAGGCAGCTCAGTTCTGAGACAGCATAGCTATCTCTTCTGGTCTGATATCCCTTTTTTAGTTCATACAGTTTCTGTAAGTGATCCTATGCTTACAACATACATAAAAGGATCTCAATTAATTAAATTGACATGCATTTGTATATGAAAAACTAATCTTCAATGTGTAAACTATATAATTTTGATTCCAAATGTGTGTGTGATTATTATATTTTTCCTTTTCCTTCCTTCCTTCCTTCCTTCCTTCCTTCCTTCCTTCCTTCCTTC